AGTCCTTTGATGATGCTAGTGCCTGCCATCCTGTGACAGGATATGGAAGCACCCTGCTCCGTCTCTGGTGGAAAAGGATTTACCTAAATTCAGCTTTCCTTTCCTTCTACTCAGGTGCTCAAGAGAAGGACCATAGAAGATTGGCTACTCTGGACAAGGGAGGGAGAAATTACCTCTAGGAAAGCAGGATTCCACTCTCGTGTCATAGAACTGAGCTGTATCTCAAGCATGGGAGATATTGACTTTTTCTGGAAATGTTAACTTATTTACATCCTGTAGTCTTCCTTAAGGAGAAGACCTTACTGACTGGATTTTTTTTTTTTGTCCCAGCCAGTTATTGTATTAGCTTACTTATTGGAAGTTCCAGTGTATGGTTAGAGCTGTGAATGGGAATTGGCAAATGCATAGATAGGTACTGCACAGGACACTGATTCAGCATCTCGGATCAATGTTTCTGAGTAATGTAATAAATGAATCCTTGGCTCTAAGAGTCAGGGAAAGATAACAAGGGAGAGTATCTTCTCTGCTTAGATTGAAGGCTGTTTCTCTAGCTTTCTAATCCTAGCCCAATACCCGGTAGGGACTAGGAGGGCAAATAGTGGTATAGTTGGAGAACTGGCAAAGGCCAAAAAATGAGGCACCATTCAATGATTTTAGCATGCGACAAAGTTTCTTGCTGTTAGGATAGACATTCTAAGGCAATGGTCTGTTTGGCTGCACAAAATAGATTCTCATAGCAGTGATTTTATGTTGGTGTACCTTGTCTGCAGCTACATAGGAAAATGAAGAACAGGGAAAGAAATGACACTGAATCTCAGTGTTTGTGAGCTCCAGAAACTGAATTGGGGTTTTAGATTGACAGTATCCACGTCCTCAAAATTCTGAAGCTGTGTGGTTTTCTAAAGGGAGCATGCATGCTATCTTTCATAATGTTTTTATGATACAGCTATACAGTCATCAAGTTAGTTTCATTATCAGGTTGGTATTACTTTGTAAAATTAATACTAAATTAATACTAAGCATAAGCAATCCTCATACATTGTAATTGCAGGGAATTGTAAGGAGGAAACCTAAAGAATTTACCAAAGTCAGTGTCTATAATTAGAATGACTAAGTATCTTAATACTGAAACCAGATGATTTTATATTTAGACCATAGCATCAGAGCCAAATACAGAGGTTCTTCTTTAGATTTAATTTTTTGTGTAGGGGTGAACTGTTCCTTTTGCTGAAGGGAAATGTTATACGACAGAACTTAAAGGAACGTTCTTCATGAACAGAAATGTGACAATTTTTATTTGCCAGATACTACAGATGCTAATACCAAGTCTTGCAAGACTAACGTGGAACAAGTTGTCATGAATAATTGATGAGATTTAAGTTATTCACCTGGAAAACTTCTTTCAGACACCTTCCAGACAGCATTTTGTCAGTGCTGGTGCACACATGGATGCACGTGTGTGGGATGGATTTGTGTGGGATAGATTGATTTAAATCAAAGGTGGTTGAATTCCCCAGTATTAGTCCTCCAGTTGTTATTGTTTTGTATTTGTCCTTAGTTTTTTCCTAAAGGAAGGTTGATTTTTTTTCTCCCTCATACCCTCTTCTGGTTCATAGGATCTTTGGATATTAGGGCTGGATGGTACCCCACAAGGTCATCTAGTCCTGACCCCTACTCAAAACAGAATTGTCCCTGACTATAAACCATCCCAGCCAAGTGCCTGCACAACCTGCTCTTGAAAATTTCCAGGGATGGAAATTCCACAGCTTCTCTATGTAGCCTGTTCCAGTGCATGACTACCCTCAATCAGACAGTTTCTCTTAATCTCTAAACTGAATTTCTTCTGCTTTAGTCTGTTATGCCTAGTCTTGTCCCCTGGGGTTACAGTCTATCTCCATCCATGATCACCCTTCAGATATCTGAAGACTTTTAGCAAATTTCCCTCAGTCTTTTCTTCTCCAGACTAAATAACCCTAAGTTTTTCAGCCTGTCATGCTTCCCAGGCCTTTAATCATTTTTGTCGCTCTCCTCTGCACCTTTTTCCAAGCTGTCCACATCCTTCCTGAAGTTCAGAGCCCAAAACTGGACACAGTACTCCAGGTGATTGTCTGGTAATAGTTAAGAAATCTAGATTTGCAACTATATAAAATATTTACGCAAAATTTGGTGGTACTTAAATTCTTAACCAAGAGATGCACTAGTTGTATTTAATCAGTTATTTAACTTAACATACATTTATTTGGATTTGTAAATTTTTGCAACTTTCTAACATAATGAAGTGTAAATTGTAGTTCTTGTGTGCTAGGCAACCCCCATCGTACATGCCAGAGCATGGCACGGAAAGGCATTTTGCTTAGCATGCTCACCTCAGGGAGGGGAGGACAAGGGTGCGCTGCTACAACAAGTATCAGGCCCTTTATGGCTCCCCTGCCATCTGCCCCGGGCACATGTATATCTTACAAGTCAAGGTTACGGGTGTTTTCGGCACTCTGCCCAAAAACATTGCCATCCCTTTACTAGACTATTAATTTATTTTTATTTGTGATTTGCATCGAGCTGCTGTTGGATAGAAATTGGCATTCAGTTAAAAATGTGGGGGGAAAGCACTTACTTTTATTAATGCTTTTTTCATCTGCTAGAAGTAAATGACAAAAACCAAGAATAAAGTAAGGTATTTAAATTCAAAATTTTCAGTTCTCCCAATCTTCTGGACTCTTTTAGAGTAGGAGCCAGAACTTTAGTGTCCTGCTAATGCTGTATTTACTCAAATCCTAGGTAACCCTGAATTTCAGGTAACTCCCAATAGTTAGATTCTATACATGGAAGAATTATACATTAGTTATAATTTTCCACGTAGAGAAACTAAATATTGGAGGGTCATCTTTAATTTGCCCCCCCTTCCACTACTGCAGGGGGGCAGGCAGTGGGGAGGCAGGTAGTATGGAGTGTTTTGATAGAAGGAATGTTTTTATTGTGCTTTTTTACAGTTTTGTCCTTTTGAGTACCATTTTTGGTTATCCCCCTGCCACCTCTGCCCCCTGCCTGCCCCACCGAAGATGGGGTGCAGAGGTGGGGGGAGGGAGGCAGCAGCTGTGGCTACAGCCATGACCCCAGGTAAGAGCTGGAGCCTGAGCCATAGCAGCCATGTGCCCCCGACCTTGATTCTAAAACAAGGGTACCCCCGCCCCCCCATGTTAAGTGTGGGGAGTGGGAAACTTCGTCTTAGAATCGAGTAAATGCAGTAGTGCTTCTCACTAGAACTTCTACTTGAGCTGAGGCTAGCATGGTCTTGTGCTTGATGTTCTGATTGCCTCCCTAAAGGTAAGGTCTTTTTGGCCTTATTTATTATTGTCATGGTTGGTGGATTTTACTTGCTACTTTTAAAGCTTCACTCCAAGATCCTCTGCCGAAATTAGACGCATGGCATGACTTGAAGACATACAGAGATAGATGGTCCAGTCAGGTTTTAAATTAGGACTCGTTAGTGAGCGTCAATTTGAAAATGTCCTGTTTAAGTAACTTAAAAAATATTTAATGTTTGAAGTACCAGAGGGATTGTAAGTTTATAAAATCCTTCGGTCTCCCCAGAAAATTAAAAGTCAGATGCATGAGACAATTTTTGAAAAAGATGACAGACAGCCTTACTTAGCTGAAAATGTGTCGATGATGACATTGTTTCCTGTTTATGGAAGTTTTTAAAAGGCAAGGATTTTTGTGATGTTATTGCAATATCCAATTGCAATAAAGTCAGACAAGCTTTTGAAAGACTTGCCTTGCATTTGAAAGCTTTTCTAAATTTATCTCAACATTTCAGTTAGTCCAAAAAAATCATTGGCTTTTATGTAATTCCTGGAACGTCATGGCTACATCACTCCGACACTGCCAAAATATGGAAATCTTAACACACTAGTCCTATAAAAATAGCTTCTTCAGTGTTTTCTATACTAGTCATGTAATGTTCATCCATCAGGAAAATTAAACATAATTTTAATTAATGGTTTATGACCAAATTTTAGTCATCCAGCAATCAAAACTATAGATATCTATACAATGTATAAATTAATAGAGTTTATCTCAGAAAGCCTTCGAATTGATAAAGGTTTTCTATAATTCTGCAAGATTAAAATGTTTTAAAATACCAATTTCTTTTTAAGTTAAAAAAAAGGTTTGTAATTATATATACTTTTTACACATTCTATACTGGAAGTGAAAAGGAAGCTTCACACTGTATATGTGGAAATGGTGTAGTGTTCATACCCTTTGTGAGAAAAATAGATGAGAATACTGACACTTTTTACAATACCACAAATAGAAGAGGTTTTCCTAGAACCTCAATAGAAATTGCTGAAATATGATTTCATACAGTTAATAATGTGATTTTATAGAACTCTAGCCTTGTTGAAAATACATGGAGATGTGAAAATGTGTTGTTTGTGTCATTTTTAATTCTTAAAACCTTTTTAGAATTTGGCCCTGAAATTTAGCTAAAACTGAATCCCACTTGTATTCTTTTAAGTGCATTTTATATTGATAGAGGTTGTATTATTTTTCATGTAGTCTATTTTATGTAAAATCCAGTGAGTGAAAGGAATTATGATGAAGAACTGGTATTTGGAGACAGCAGCAGTTTTGTTATCAATCTGTTGTATATTGCTCAAAGATGGATGAAGTTAATGAAATGTATATCCAGTGCATTGTAGTATTTCCTTTAACTCCATTGTAGTTGACTTCTGAGTGGCTTTGTCCCTTCAACTGTGTTTTCAGAGATATGTAAAATGTCTTTAAAAAAAACAAACAAGATTTGATAAGAAAGTTCACTTTCTTAACTTTACTATCTGCCTGATTGTATTACTTAAAGGAAAATTGATCATGCTGCAGATTTGTATACAAGAAAGTCTTATATTTCAGAAAGAATAGATCCCTTAACATTTATAGAACAGAGAAAGTTCTGTATTCTTACTGTTCTTTAGAACTAATTAAATAATTTATTTTTTGTTCAGGTTTTGACTGGCTCTTCTCGTCAAGGTTACCCAGCAACAGGGTATCAGGATTTACCCAATTGGGAATCTCCAATGAAAATCAAAGAAGGGTTGCTAAGACAGAAAGAAATTGTGATTGATCGGTGAGTAATCCTTTTATGTCGTCAAACTGAGTATTGAACAATAGACTGGACTATTGACATAAACACTGCTTATAGATGTTGACTTCCAGAAAGGATTGGTTGTTTACAGAAGGTTTTTGGGCCTCAGTCTCGTAAAGACTTTTGCACAAAGCAGTCACTGGAGAAAAGCAAGTGTGCGCGTATATCTTTGTTGGATCAGGAATTTAGCATAATTTCTCTCTCTTCAGGGCCTTCTTGGTGGAAAAAGGAGAATGAGACATGTTGCCAAGATTATTGCTTATAAAATTTTTACTGGCTGGAAAATATTTTTTTTCTCTTCAGCCTGTACATTTCTATGCAAGTGACTTACAAGACAACACATGATTATTTTGTATCCCATTCTTAATGGTCTTTTCCATGTGAGGTAGAGTAAGATGGATGGTTTCCTCTTTCAGTGTGGAATTATTACTTGTTTAATGTTGGTGGCTCTTCTATATGCATTCATTTTGATCTTTTGGACACAGCTTTAAAAGAAGTTAAATTGTGTCTTATCTCCAGTCTGTTTGCATTGGTTATGTTATCAAAATCTTCATGATGCAGATTAGAAATACTGGGAACCACTTTATTTGGAACTCAGTTTTCAATAACAGATGTGATGGTTTAAAGTACAGTAGGTATAAGAGTTTATGGGTGAGATTCTATGTTGTGCCTCCAAAAGACACAGCGCGCTCTCTTCAGCCCAGGGCAATGGGTAGGCTCTGGTGGCTGTAAGCTTCAGTTAAAGTCTTCTGATCCCAGAGGCCCTTGACATAACTTGCATAGCTTCAGGGGGTCCTGTGTGAGTAGCAGCAGTTTTCTCAGTCTGTGCTTTGGCCAACAGCACTATGTGCTATAGCTTTGTGTTTCCATGTTACTCCTGTCCTGAGAACACCCCATCAGCTCTTAGATGTGTGTTTGTTAAATCCTAAAGTTTAGGATGACCCACGGCTATCTTCCTCAGATCCTGTGTTGGGGAAATTTTCCCCATCCAGATTGGGATTTTTGGAGCTGCTTTACTATCCCTTTTATTTAGTATCTGACCTTGCATGTAAGCTTGTTAGTTGTATCAGTTGAAAGCCCAATTTGTATTTTTGGTTAATCTGTTTCCCTTATACAAGAAATTTCATTACAGTTCATTGTGAAGTTCTTTTGAACTAAAATGACATTGAATTCTACGTTACCTGTTTTTCTGCCTTGGAGTTCATACCAAAAAAAGCTTTTTTACATGGTTACCAATATAATCACAAAATTCTGACTTATTCACAGTATTATTTTTCTCCCATAGCAGTTTAGGCTGCTGAGAGACTTGGAAAAACCCCCCCAGAGCTTTACCGGAAGAGGAAGCATGTTGGTTTGACCTAGTTCCCCAGTGTCTGTATAGATCATGTGCTTCAGTGGGCCTTTTTGGCACTTTTTTTCTAATAGCTGTGTCAATCAGCTATTTGATAAAAGCGTCAGAAAGCCCCACTGAAGTGCCTGATCTATACAGACTTTGGGTGAGCTGGGCCAAACTAACGTGATGCTTCGACTGGGCATCTTCTGTGCTCAGCTCAGGGGCACATTGAGCTGAAAGTAAAGTGCTGGTTCTTTGTTTTGTTTGTTTTTCACATCTGTAAGGAGCCTTATTTTCTATCTTTGTACTGCTAATAGAAAACACAGGATATTCTGCATCTCTGGGAAGAAGTTAGTTGTGGTGATTACTTTTCAATTAACTATGGAAGAATACATGATAAAAGTTGTCAGTGGGAACCAAAAAAACCCTTAAATAACCTCACATTAATCTGGTTTAAATCAGTGATTCTCCACCAGGGTAGTGATGCCTTGAGATCCTTTTGGGTGCAGTGGGATGCCACACAGTTTTAGAACTCCTAGATGTACAAGCTATGATTCCCAACATAAACACAGAGATCCAATAGAAATCTAGAGTGTTAAAACATTTTGCCTTGTATCTTGATCTTTCTGTGTTTTCTGCAACAGAAGAATTGCTCTGTCAAAAAATGAGTGAAATCTGAGAGCTGGTACTTTCCAAGGGGTACCTCAGGTCGGAAAAAGGTCAAGAACCACTGGTTTAATTAGACACCCAATGCTAAAACCAACCATACAATAAACTACCATAATGTTGGGAGGACTTCTTTCATAGGAATTCTCGGAAGAGTCAAAATTTCAAAGATTTCACTCTGTGAAATCCTATGAAATATGAACTTTCATTTCTACCCAGGAGAAGTTTTACAATCTTTTCTCCAATGCCTGATGAAGGGTGTTTGTGCCTGAAAGCTTGCCATTAAAGAATTTTTTTTGCAAAAATCGTGTCGGTCTAATAAAATATTATCTCTACTATGAGTCCTGATTGCCTTTTCCTCTAGACCAATATGGCTACAACCTGGATACCTTTCTAGCAACTGGAATTCTTTGAGATGTCTCATCACTATCTATAGTCACATTTCACCCCACTTCCTTTTCTCCTTGAAGTCATGAGTTAAGACTTTGCAGGTGAGAGAGCTGATGGGAAGCATGAACTGACCTCAATGCAAAGCATAAAAAGGAGCAGGACTCAGCAGCATGTCCTGCAGGTACTGCTAAATCAAAAGGTTTCCAAACTTGAAGAGCTGTGACACATGCTTGCCAAAGGTGAGGATGTGCATAGGGGCTAAGTAACTTGTTTCTTGTTCTCTATTGGAGATATACAACATGGGAATTGTGAAAGAACTGAAGGGCATGGCAGAAAGAAATGAAGCATGGCTAGAGACATGCCTGTGTGGCGCCAGGTCCCAGCTGCCATTTCAACCCTGGATGTTGCACAAGTTAAATGCAACCCTGACATTGCTCTGGCATAGTGCTTCTCAACTTCTTTAGACTCAAGGCACCCTTGGAAAGTGCCAGCTCTCCAGCTTTCACTCATTTTTTGACTACAGAAAATAATAGAGCAATTCTTCTGTTGCAAAGAATTCAGAAAGACTACAACAGGTTGGAATATTCTTGATGCTGTGAATTCAGGGTTCATCTTGTAAATCAGGGTTGCACAGGGTTGTGATTGAGAATCGCTGCTTTTAATACATGCCAGGGATACACCATGCACACAATAGTCCCATGAGTGAGAGAAACTGATATTACCTTGGTCCTCACACCCTGATCTGCACTGTGTGGTTAGCTCCTCTGGGGAGGCAATGGATGCTTTGCATTTAAAATCTTAGATATTTCAGTAGATATTCTAATTAAAAAAGAGTCAACTCTACCCCCAGTAAGAGAGATCAGAATAAAAAGAAAAATGCCTTTGATCATACTAGCTGGACAGAGGCCATTTATTTGTCTTTAACATTGGAAATCTGACAAAAAACTGCATAGCTGGAACTTCATCAACTGTAACAAAAAAAAATGTTTCCTCAGTGAACAGGTAGGTAGGCTTTTATAGTGGAATGGAAATCTAAAATTGAATAGAGTTTTTTAAAATAATTGTATGTTTGCGTTTCTCAACAGAAACAGCATCAGAAATACCACTAGAGTGGGTAACAGTCAGTTGGATTTGTTTTAGAGTCCCTTCCACAAGTTGAATTTAAAAACGATCAGTTAAGCACTTATGAACAGAATGGTATTAATACATTAAAGTGTATTTATTTATTTATTTATTGTTGGTTTAACTTACTTAAAGCTATGTAATAAAAAAACAGAAATCATAGTGGATTAGAGACAAAGTCAGGTTTTCTGTACAGCCCTGAGGACTGAGTAAAGCAAATACAGATCATCCCTTTTGCAGAAAATGCATGAGAGGAGATAACCACATGAGTGAACAGTCAGAGGTGTGCATCACCTTTCCCTTCTGAGTGCAGGTTCATGAAGGACAGTTGGGCCATGAGTGAGGTTCAAGAGGAGCTGGCCTTGAGCAAATCTGCTAATGCTTTTGTAACATTTACAGGCTGAACATTGTACCCCATATAATTCAAAGTAATTAGAAAACAGAAGAAACACCTGGATTGTTTGTACTTAATGTATTGTATTATTTCTCCAGGATTTTGTTTAAACATGTAACACCACATTATTTTTAACACTAGAGGGAGCAGCTGTTCTTATATTGGCTTGCTAAATGCTAACATATTTGAATTTCATAAACTCATGTTTTGCTCTGTGAATTAAAAATGCTAAAATTTTTACCTTGCTTTGTAATATTTAGACTGATTGTGAATGTGGCCAGCTGTTGCATTCTAGGCATTTCTAATCTGGTGTTAGGCAATATCTGTCCTGTTCATTTGGCAAGAACTTTTATATAGGGTTTGTGTGAATAAATGCCAAGTATATGAGCATATGAAATAGGCTACTAAGAATAATACTGCATTCAATAATGATTATGGGTTTCTTTCTGAGCAGCTCGGAGACAGTCAAACAGCTTTTTAAGGAAAGGTAAATCTAGAGGTTGTAGTTTTAGTGAATAGCTTTTATTCCTCAGCATATAATAACATTAAGATTCTTAGAACAGCTGTCAAATAATTGGCTTTCCACCCCGAGCTAAATTTTAGTTAGAGCTTTCATTTGGGCAGTTGAATTAGATCATTTCTCTTTGCCTTTTATCAGACCATTCTGCTTTTATTAGTTAACATCAAATGTGGTGAGAGCTGATTGTGTGCACATTATTGCAACTGTCTGTTGTTCAGTGTATAATTGTAGCTCTTGATTTAAAATTCTATGATGGGTTGCAGCATTTGCTGCATGCATAGAAATCGTAGTTTGTATATAATAATTTTTGGAGAAATGTAGGTGGTTGAATTCATGGTTATCATTAAGTTATGAACTGCTCCAGCTCTGATTGAAGGCACAACCCTTGGTTATGTAAGTGGAAATTCTGTCCATGGACTGAGATTTGTATATGGCCCTTGTGGCAAGGTTTTTTGTGGGACGATATTTTTTATTGAACCGGTTGCAGGGTTTGGATAAAGTTAGACAGGCTTTTGAATGCAAGGGAATAATTTTACTTGCCTAGTCTTACTAAGTTA